TACAAAGTGAGATTATCTATTTCTATCAAGAATGTGTTAAAGAAGAATTCAAGAAGAGAAGGAATTGAAGGTAAGTTCATTGATTTCAATGATTTTTTTTTTTCAATCTTAACTACTCCGTATTAAATCTACTCTTTGCTTTTAATTTATAAAAATGATTTTTTTTTATGAGGAAACTTATTCCTTTTAATTATCTAATTTTAATTTTTATAACTATAAGTTTCTGATGTGAAGGATCCCAACTTTGAGCAATCACAGAGCATACTTCTCATAGTTTTTAAGAAAATATTTTAGTTTGTTTATGAAGAAAATTAAATAAATATACCTTCTGAGAAGAACAAGGATTTTGAGATTTTGAGCAAAATTCGTGCTGATAACGTGTTGTAAAATGAGAGAAAAACTACTCAAAGATTATGAGAATAGATATAATATATTTCTGATTTCTTCTCTCTATTAACTCTTCACTCTTCTTCTTATTCTTAATGGTAATTTACAGGGATCCTAAGCCTCTTATTTATAGTAGAGAGGCTTAGTGCTAACACTATTACAAATAGTATACATACTATACAAATGGCAACTTGATGGTGATGAATGATGATGGACAATTTGTTCCTGCAACTTATGATGGAGCATGATCTAATTAATTGATAAATGAACAATTCATATTTTTCTTAACACATATGTATTTTTCAATGGGTTATCATTACCTAAATTTATTTGGCATTTTTATTTTATTTTTTCACTAGTATATCATTTAATTACAATTTGATATTTTTGGTCAAGTTGCTCGATACTTTAACCACAAAGTGTGTAAAAAGTATACAAAGTATTATATTTAATTATAATGTAAATTTATAAAAATTGTGTCCATTTAAAATATTGTTCTCATACATCAAATTTTTATGATATTTAATTATTTAAAGCTTTATTTAATTTGTAATCAAAGTGTTACATACTTTTACCAAAAAAGTTGATAATCTTAATTAATAGACACGTGAACACATTTCAAGCCCGGTTCTACATATTTTAAGTCGCCCTGGTTCTATAGTCACTGACTTTCAGTGGCTTCAGAAGCCCCTTAACAAATTGGGGCACCTATAGTTCTCTATTCTCAAGCCCGTTTTTTATGAGGTTTGATCGACTTTATTTTCAATTCAATTTATTTGATTGTAGGTGATGGGTGTATTCCACCCACGACCGGTCAAAGGAGAAGACCAATTAGTTGACCGGTCAATTTCGAAAGTTTTGGAAGGGAAACTTAAATCGTCAGCAAATCGATATGTAATCGGCCCAAATATGACCGGTATACTTCACGAAAAACTATACCGGTCAAACTACTTTGTCACCCTATTTTCCCCTAACTTCGATGATTTCATCTCACGAAGATTACCCGGTGTAGTTTCTAGGGTTGGGAAGTGTCGGCAGAAGAGAATCTAAGAGGGCTTGGCGTGTAGCGACCCATGTCAGTAGAGGACAACTGGAGAAGCTGAAGAATCCATCCAAGGCACTACTCGACAAAGGGAATAATCCCCCTCACAAGGCGACAAGGCAGCTCGAGGACGAAACCAGTCACCTCGCACCACATCAGCACCATGCCCCCACGTGGGGGCACGTGGTCTTGTCCACCATAGCCTAGTATAAATACTAATGTAAACCTCAGAAAGAGGGATCTGAATTCATTCTCTCTAAACTACCTGGAGACTTTCCAAGAACTCAGGTTTTGTCGGACACAACTTGAACCCCCGAAAACTCCTCTCTCAGGCTTCACGGGAGACACCGTTGAAGTTGAAGGATCCATAGTTCTACCGGTCGAACTAGGATCAGGTGAGAAGACCGTGTGGAAGAAGATGCGGTTCATCGTTGTAGACATTAAGTGCGTCCACAACGCAATTCTTAGAAGGTCAGGCATCAATAAAGTCGGGGCGGTGATTTCCATGGCTCATCTATGCATGAAGTTCCACACTCCAGGTGGTGTGGGTGAGGTGAAGGGTGACCAAAGGAATGCCCGGGAATGCTATGCCCGGGCAGTCAAGAAGATGACCAAGGGGGTCAATGTCATCTCCCAAGAAGTCGCAAAGGGAGAGACCCGGGAAAAATTAGAGCCCGAGGCCGAGACGGTGGAAATCGAACTTCACCCGGGTGATTCTTCGAGGATGGTCAGAATTGGAGCAAATCTCCCCGAGGATCTCAAGGCAGAGATTACACGGGTCCTCCAAGAATACGCGGGTATATTCGCATGGAGCGTGGCGGATATGCCCGGAATAGATCGCTCTGTTATCTGCCACCGGTTGGCCGTGAGGGAAGGAAGTCAACAGGTACGACAGAAGAAGCGGTACCTGGCCAGTGACCGGCGAGACTTCGTCAAGAAGGAAGTGAAGGACCTCCTCAGTGTTGGTCACATCCGGGAAGTCAAATTTCCGGATTGGCTGGCCAACGTTGTCCTTGCTCCCAAGGGCGACACGTGGAGAATGTGTGTGGATTATACGGACTTAAACAAGGCTTGTCCGATGGATTCATACCCCCTTCCCAGTCCAGATCAAATGGTGGACGAAACTGCGGGGTGCGAACTCCTAAGTTTCATGGATGTCTTCAAGGGTTATAACCAAATCTACATGGCCAAGGAAGATGAAGAGAAGATGTCATTCCTCACACCCGAAGGAACCTACTGCTACCGGGTAATGGCGTTTGGCTTGAAGAACTCAGGGGCAACCTACCAGCGCATGGTGGACAAACTCTTCAAGCCACTGCTGGGAAAGACCATGGAAGCATACGTCGACGACATGCTGATCAAAAGCTAGGTATCTCTCAACCACCCGGCTGATATGCGAGCCACATTCGATATCATGGCAAGGTACAACCTCCGGCTGAATCCTAAGAAATGCGTCTTCGCGGTTCGTACCGGGAAGTTCTTGGGATTCATGGTGACCAAGAGAGGAATAGAGCCCAACCCAGAAAAAATCCGGGCCATCACTGAAATGCAAGCCCCTACCTCCGTTAGGGATGTCCAAAAGTTGACCGGTCGTTTAGCGGCCCTCAGCCGGTTCCTTTCCCGGTCAGCTGAGAGATCCCTGCCCTTCTTCAAAGTTCTGAAGAAGGTGAACACATTTGCATGGGACAAAGAATGCCAAAGGGCATTTGAGGAGCTGAAAGAGTACCTAGCGTCGGATATTGTATTGTCTAAACCCGAACCAGGTGAAACTCTGTATCTGTACCTGGGAATTTCCCCAAATGCTGTAAGCTCCATTTTAATAAGAGATAATGGGGCACAAAAGCCCAGTGAGCAAAGCACTAAATGGGGCTGAGAGTAGATATACGGCGATGGAAAAGACAGCCTATGCGCTTTTCATCTCTGCAAAAAAGTTAACATCCTACTTCCAAGCTCACCTGGTAGAAGTCTTGACCGACCAACTGCTGGGTGCAGTATTGCGAAATTCAACATCCTCCGGGAGGATGGTGAAGTGGGCGATGATGTTAACTCAATTCAACATTGAGTACCGGCCAAGGTCGGCAATCAATGGACAAGCCCTTGCTGACTTCCTGGTAGAAATGACCGGTCTAACTCCAGACCTACCGGTCAACAAGCCCACTGAACAATGGTGGGAGATGGCCGTTGATGGGGCATCCGGTCCTAGAGGATACGGAGGTGGTATCGTGTTCACCACCCCAGAAGGGTTCAAGATCTACCATGCAATCGTCTTCAACTTCAAGCTGACGAACAATGAGGCAGAATATGAAGCTCTGGCTGGAGGGCTCAGACTTGCCCAAGCCCTGAAAATCAGTCGGGTCAGTATCAAATTTGACTCTAGCCTGATTGTTGGGAAAGTGACCGGTAACATGGAAGAAAGGGAAGGATGTTGAGTCCAAAAGATTCTTTATTTAATCTCCACTAAATCAGTATTTTTATGAGTTAAAAGGTGCATTTTTACACTTAAATGATCATATTTGCATCCTAGGCATTATTCACAAAATATATTCATAATACACATTTTTCGAGTATATTTAAAATGTTATTTCGTTGGATCCAATATTTTTCTTGACAAGCTGTTTAGATATGTTGTTGGAGCTGAAAAACATGGGCTGAAGATTTTGCAATGGGCCTCCGAAACAATTTAGAAGAAAAGAAGAAATAAGGTTGTTTTTGGGCTGCACTTTCAATTACCTGACCCGGCCCTCCACTTTACCCGAATGAACCCGTCGTATGAGCCTCAACCATCTCATCGCCTCTCAAGAATGCAAATCAGAGAGAGAAAGAGGCGTGTGAGAGAGTATCCGAAGACTCCTACTCCTTCTCAATTCAATTCCAGCTGTGTAACACCGGATTAATCGCAGCAAGAAAATAGCGTCAAGAATCCAAATCCAATAAGGAAGAGATGAACCTCGCGCCTATAAGGCGGGGGGGGATGCGGCGAAGAACTTCACCACCACCATCAAGAACAAGAATTAGAGCTTCAAGTCAAGGGTATGAACCCTAGGGGGGTTCGGGTCTTGAACCCAAAACCCCCTTCGTTCCCATTTGTTTTCATCTTTTTAGTGATTCTTTTATTCATATTATGTCTAATTTCAATTTTTAGTCTCTTTGTTTCTCTCACAATTGAACGAATTCTGTCTGGTTTTCTTTGATTCTGAATGTTGTGTTCGTTAAAATCAATGGTTGCTTTCAAAACGTTGGAGATACTGTCATGGATTTGGTTTGAAAATTTGACCAAGTTCCCAATTTATTTTTGGGCATGTATGTTTGAGTATGGCCTTGCGATGCACTGGCAGTTGCTTTTGTTTCTGGATTTCATTCACTGCCCATTTTGGAAGAAGTCATAATGAATGATTTTTCATGATTTAAACCTTCCAATCATGCTGGCTTTAAGTGGGTTCAAAAGCACCAGAACAAGGCCGTGTTTTTTTGAGCAACCTTGAGAAGTTTTTTTTACTTTCTTATGTAATCTAGGAATTGATTTTGTCAAAAATAGCATTTGAAACCAGAATTTTTAGAAGTATTGAATCTTGTTGCCTAAAATTAAATCTGTCTATGGGTTTAAACTTTTACTTCAAGTTTAATACTTCTAAAATAATTCAAGTTGGTGGTCCCAAAGTGGTGAAATACAAAGTCTAGAGGGGGGGGGGGGTGAATAGACTTTGTTACAGATTTAAAATCTTTTTCGTTTCTTTTGAAAACGTGAAAATGAGTGTTAATCTAGAGTCCTTTTGAACTTTAGATTGTGTGCGGAATTTTGGTGGGTAGACTGAGCAGTAATCAATATGGATAGGTTAGTTTTCACGGTTAATATAATTGCAAGTAAGAATAAAGATAAGAGAGAGAGACACGCAAACTTTAACGAGGTTCGAAGGTGGGGTAATCCTTCTACGTCCTCAAAATCCACTATGTAGTTGGTTGTTAAATAATGAACCAACAATTACACTTGTGTGAATTTCTGCACGGTATATCTTCACAAAACCAATGTTGCTACTGCACTCGTGCTGGCTTTGTTGTCCCTTCGAAAGTCAAGCTTCTTCAACAACTGCAAGGTCCGAACAATAGGACTTGCAAGATCAACTTGTAAGAGAGTTGACCTACCCCCTTTTAATCAATAAGTTTGATCAAAAGTAATATCCTTCAACGTGGTGTGGTGCTTGAGGCAAGGAAACCTTCAAGTGTTTACACTATAGCTCTTTGGAAGGAGGAAAAGTTTGCTTCTGGATAAGGAGTTTAGAAATCTCTCTTTATCAAGCCTTTTTGTGCTAACTGTGAATGAGATAGCTTTGTTGTGTTGTTGTATCTCGTTATCCTTTTTTTTTGGTCTTCCAAGGATGCTATTTATAGCTGGATTGGATAATCTATCCGTTGAATCATAATAGACTATCCGTTGCATTTGCTGGCTTCAATTTTGAATGAAGATTGTGATTTGAAGATTCCTCATTGGAATGGGTGTTTGGACATACCCATTTGTTAAAGGAGAGATTCCTTTTTCAATAGAGTCCGTCTTCTAGCTGCTGTTCAAGTATTCTGGACTGTGGAACTTTACTCTGTTTGTCTTTTAGTGCTTGTTTAGGAATTCTGGACATGTTCTTCAATTTTTAGAGGTTCAGACTTTGTCTTCGAGTCATTTGTTCTTGAATCAGCATAATTATCTTCAATCTAGCCGTTGAAAATCAAGAGATTGATTTTTCCTTACCAACGGGTAGAATTTCTTCATTCAAGACTTAGATAATTTTTAAAGTCTTTTCTCACTTGTCCGTTTTTTGAGAATTCCGGTCTTCCTTGAGGCATCCGGTTCTTAGCTGACAAATCTGGAGGAGTCATTCTCAGACTTCCGGGTGAGAAAGAGATCCGCGCTAGTCTTCCGATTTGGGTGACTTAGCCTTCAGCGGGTTGTAGCGAGACATCCGGTTCTTATGTAGTCTTCCGGATCAGAGGATTTTCATCTGTTTGAGAAATCCTTACTTGTCTCTGGCATTTCCGATCAAGATATCCAATTTCCATATTACTGAATTTGATTAAGTCTTCAGGCATCAAAATGCTTAAAGAAATATCACAACCTTATTGGAAATCTCAAGAACTTGGTTTTAACAATATTTCTAAAAAGAAAAATTACATTGAATATTGGGGGAGACCTAAAGTCCCTATTACATTCTAAATACATCATCATCAAAATCTATGATATTTTTCCCAACAATTTCCCCCTTTTTGATGATGACAAACAAGTGCTTAAGAGTTTCGTTCGCTGTACTGAGAACTAATTTTGTAACTTTCTTTTAGTTTCTCATAATATACAGCTTGTTAACAAAAACTCTTAAACAAATACAATTCAAATTACAATAATTCCTAAACCAAGTCTTGTCTTGAGATTTTGTGATCTCTTCCGCCATTGACCGTTTTCAGCTTCAGCAGATTCTGCTTGGCAGAGCGGTTGGCGTTGCATTTGATAGATCTTTAATATCCAAAATGGATATTTAAGATCTTGGAAGCAACACATCTCTCAAAATAAGAAGAAAGATAGAGAGAGTGTTGTTCCAGAGAAGGTGTATGGTCTAATACTGAAAAATACGAGATTTCCACCATAGACCTTCTCTACTGCCGAGATTCTAACCATAGACCTTAAAAGTCTTTTCTTCTCAATGGGCTTCTTCCATTGCCGTCTATGAGGGTGAGAAAGAGAAATTTCTCCATTGAGGATATTTTTCTTGGTGTGTTTCTTAGACAGTGAGTTTGAGGACTTTTCATATTGAGAGAGTTGTTTGTGATGGAAATGGATTGAGATATCTTGATTTAAATAGGAGAAGAGAGGGTTCACGGGTTCCATTAATTTGGTAGGTGGAACGGTGAGAGTAAAAGAGTTTCAACTTCCAAGAAGTTGAAAAGTGGAATGAATCTTTTACCAATTACCAATGAGTTGAAACTGTTCCAATTTGAAAATCAGTTTCGTTTGGTTTGAGAAACATAACTGTTTTAGTTTGGCTAAGCCCAAAAGAGTGGCCCAAAAAGAACAGAAAGCTACGTACTAAAGGGAAATTATTCCTATTGGGTTCTCAAGGCCCAAAATAAGACTATCATTTTTCATTCCCTATAGTTCTAATTTCTATTTAGGACGAGGTAGCACCAAAACAAATGTGAATATTATTTTTAAAAGAAAAGTGGTACTATTTTTCCAAAGTCCTGTACATTTTTAAACATCCTAGGTGTTGAAACACGGGCATGTCGCGTTTTCGTACTAAAGCCGTGTTTGTTTTTATGACAGGTTTTGATAATGCCAAACCGCCGTGATCAAGTCAAACTTTGAATATACAAGGCGAAGAAGGAAGACAAGAACAAGAGCTAAAAGAAGACCAAGAACGAAGACCTTAGTCTTAGTGTCGTTGAGTCGGTCTTCATTGTGATCAAGACCGACCCAATCTTTACACCTTGGCTCTTTAGGCTAAAAACCTTCATTGCACTTCTTAAATCATAAAAATGCTTTTCAAACATGTTTAAGTCATTAAAAACACTTGGTGTTCGCCCAAACCAAAAACCAAGCCATCTAGCGTTCGGGTTTCAGAAACTGGCGTTCGGCTCTCGGTTATCGGCTATGGTTTTTGGCGTCCGAACCAACCAAGTGGTTTTCAACTTTTTATGATTGGTTTTTACTCTTTGGCATGTTTAAACGGTTCTCCAACAAAAACACCTTGAAAACCATCTCTCGCTTTTGGTCGTTTGACAAAAAACATTCAACGGCATAAAACTTGGCTAGCCGTGGTTTTCACTTAAATGACGTGGTTTTTAAAGTGTCTTACTCGATTTATTAGCCAAATACATCAAATAAGTGTTTTAAACTCTTGGTTTTTATTTTGGAGAACTTTGAATTTTTCGGTCGGGTTACGCATCGGTTGGCTAGGCCGTGGTTAAGCCAAAAACCATGGGTTCTTGACTAACC